TTGTTAGCACAAGGTCCAGTAGCCCACTTTTTCCTTGTTGGCTTCTCCAACATCAAAGTTATCATCAACACACTGCAGGAACTTCCATGACTGTGCCTGGCTGTGTTGTCCTTCCAGTTGATGTCAGGGTAGTTGAAGTCCCCCATGAGAACCAGGGCCTGTGACTGTGAGGCAACATCCAGCTGATTATAGAAGGCCTCATCAGCTTCTTCATCCTGGTCAGGTGGCCTGTAGCAGACACCTACCACAGTGTCTCTCACGTTAGCCTGCCCTTTAACCTTTACCCACAAGCTCTCAACTCGCTCATCATCCACCCCCAGGTTGAGCTCCATGCATTCCAGTTGCTCTCTCACATAAAGAGCAACTCCACTACCTCTTCTTCCTAGCCTGTCCTTCCTAAAGAGCGCACAGGTCTTCCTATAGAGCATTCACCTCCAAGGTGTTAAGAAGATGTCAAAGTGTTGTGTTTTTGCTAGAGTAATTTCTAAGTGCAGCCCCTTAAAGACCTAACTGAAAAGCCTTGCTGGGAGATGGGTTTGCTCTAAGAGCACTTTTTCCTCCCCATGCTGCCTCCCACTCTTATTGATCCACTTTTCTAAAAGCCAAATGTTACTTCCACTCTGATCAATATTGGTAAGAAAGTGACTGGAAACGAAGGAGAGATTTTGATCCCTGGTACTGAAGACAGTTGTCACTTGTGGTGGTTTTTTTTTTCTCTTTCTTTGGAACCTGAGCAAAAGTTGGATAAATTCCAGGATTTATCAAGCCATCAGTTCTCACCTTTATGGTAAATACTTAGAATCTGAATTACCACTGAAACAGTCTGTTACTTAATTGACTCTATTCTGGAGAAACTCCAGCCTCACCGGGATAACGATATCCATCTGAGGTGTTCTCACCTTCGTATTTTAGTCACAAATACCTCTTCTCACAGTGCCTTGGCAGGACAGGGAAGTGGTGTAGTCCCTGCCTTGCCAAGAAAGTCTAAGCATGTTGGTCATCCAAATACTACTTTGATCTAAATCCAAAGCTTGTCAAAGGCCCTGTTCCTGTCAGCTGGCAAGACCCCGGCACAATGCGAGCGTGGTATGAGCCGGTTCATGTGCAGCTGCGGGGAAGTATCACTGTCCTCTGGTGGGACTTGGTGTCGTATGTGTTCCTTGAGGCACGGTAGATCCTCTACTAGCTCCAGCTCGGCGTGGTGGTGGTTTAACAGCATGGCAGTAGCCTCCTCTCCTGCATGACTTGTTTTGCTCTACCTGAAAGCTTCTCGTGGGATGTGGCAGGAGTGCCCTTCTCTCCCCAGATGACTGTGGTTGCTGTTTTGTGTGTACAGATCTCTGCTTTTGTCACAGGTGGAAGACAGCATGATGGACGTCTATGACTTTGTGTACGAGGAGGTGAGGAAGAATGCTTCCAGCTTTAGGAGGCAGGAACTGACTGCCATCCATGAAACAGTAAGACTTCACAAAAACCTTGCTCTGGAGTATTTTTCTGTTGTGCAAGCCCGTTTTATCTTCCACCAGTGTTGTTTTCCCTTAGGAGCAGGGGGAACATCTTCTCGCTTTCTAGACACTTCCTAGGTTTGACTGAATGGATTACCAGTAGGAGGAAAGCAGTGTTGCTGTGATGCAAGATCTTAAAGACTTTCGTACTGTAGTTGATTTTTGTCTGCCGTGGTAGGCTTTTGTCAAGTCTCGTTCCTTCATATCTGTGGTATGCTAAAGTGAATATATGCCTCTCTGATGCTCCCAGCCAGGTATAGATAAGGGATGAAGTTGCACAAATATTTTTTTAATTCAATGTAATAAGGGCTTTCCAAAGCTACTTTCATCTGTGCTTCTCAGACTGCAGTTAAGGCCAAATACTTACATTCTAATGCCATCAGCGGCCCCTTAGAGACACAGCCAGGAGCGTTAGTGCTTCTCGTGGGGAAAATGAGGCCCAGGATTATTCACACCCTCACATTCAGGAGATGCGGGCAGAGTACCCAGCCATCGCCAATCGCTTGCTTTAGCTGGGTTGTGGAAGGGGTCCCCATCATGGACGTGGCCAGCTGCAGGCGTCACCGGGAAGGGCAGTGCCCAGGGCATTGCCTAACCACACAGCCGCTCTCTTTCAGTTCCTGTGCTGCGGGAAGCGCTCCCCCTTCGGAGAGACGGGAGATGTCGAGCGCAGGACGTGCCCGCCAGGCCGCCCCAAGGCAGCGGAAGAGGTAAGGAGAGAGTCGCTCCTTCCTCCATGCCTCCTGCGCGTGCAGAGATTGTGGCATCGCAGGCATCAAAACCTGCCTCAAACCTGCCGGACTCCCATGCAGTGCTAATTCCTGAGGCTTAAAAGAGTATATCCCCTAGCAGCATAATGTTGAAAGTGCATACAATAATTGTAATCCCTTTTCCAAGATCATTGAACATGTGCTTAAAATGGAGAAAAAAAAAGAAAAAAGAAATTATGTCCAGCAGTAGCTTTATCAAGTATATTTCCATCCCTCTTTTTGTATTGGAGTGGTCAAATGAATTAAAGTAGCTAAAGCTGCCAGCTTCAGTATGTATATTGTTCCTAGGGAAAACAAAAACGTGTTGCTCCAGCTATACAAAAGCATCCCTGTTACGCAAAGATGTCAAGAGCTAATGCAATGCTGTGCTGCTTAGGCACTTGTCAGCCTGCAGGGCAGTGTTTCAAAACACTGTATCCTGAAGAACAAATTCGCAAAAGTGGGTAGACTTCAGATGAAATAACAGGAAGGAAGAGAGCAACAAACGTGGCCACTGTGTTTGACTCCAGTCACCGCTTCTAATGGTTTGAATTTGCTCTGGTTGCTGGCTGGGGGAAGCAAGCACTGAGATGTGTTTTGCAACCTGTGGAACCGCAGGATTTCATGGTTGTAACGCGTTCACGCTTCGGCATTGATGCTGCGGCACCATGAGCACCCTCACCCAGCTCAGCAAAACACTTAACCAAGGCCATACTCTTACACCTCTCAGTGGTTCCCCTGACTTACTGGTTGTCTTGGTAGACCAGTTGGTCTTCAGTGGAGTCACTGGCATGCTTAGCATTAATACCCATTAATTTTCATGACACTGTGCAAAATTGAGCTATAGCATCTTTGAAGAACCTATGTTGTGTTACGGTGTGCTGCTTTTCCATGTTTTCATTTCACTTCTTAAATTTTATTCCCCCCCCAATCCTTTTTTTTTTTTTTTTTTTTTTTTTTTTTTGAGATTACATTAAGTGCAGTTACGTATTAAATACAGATATATTCCCAAAGCAGCTGGTATGCTGTCACAGTCTCTGTCTTATCTCCTGTCACAGTCTCTCTCTTGTCTCAGGATTGCCTCCGAGAGATCCAGGACTTCCTGAAGAAGCACATGGGCTTTGTCTCAGCGCTGCTGGCCATCTCCATCTGTTTCGTGGTAGCTATGCCTGTTCTTGGCTTTTTTAGCCCAGGGAGGCAGGCTTCAGGAGGGGAGTTGTATCCTAAGTTAGCCTCAGGGAGCTAAGATTTAGACGCCTGACTCAGATGGTTTTGGAGCTTAGAGTTGAGTGACGGAGAAATATGTGGAGGTGACTTTGTCACAGAATTTGGGAGAGATCCATGGCCTGTCTGGCGGCGGGTGTCAGCTGCCAGCTGGTGGGATTTCTCTGCAGAAATAGACTCGCTGGACTCCCCTTCTGCCCAAACTAGGCATGACGGATGGGAAGGGGCAGCCGTGTGGGAGGGGACCGCAGCAGCGTTTGAGTTTCATTCACGTGGGTTTCGCCTGGCAAGTGAGGGAGGCTGCGTCACGGGGCACAGGTGCTTGGAGATCAGATAAAAAGTTGTCAGCAAGTGCAGAGTAGGAGATGCAGAAAAGCCCCGTCTTCTGGGAAACGCGGAGCTGCCTCTTGCCTAATGCTCCCTGGCTGCCTCCTGTACTGAATTCATATCGTTTTGAGGGCAGAGAGGGAGGCAAGGGGACAGAAGTGCCGTGATGGGAGTATGTCCTTCAGTGTGGAAGTGGGTGTGGGCATCTGAGTGCAGCTGAGTGCAGGCATATGAGTGTGGCTCTCCACACTCATAAAACAAGTCTTTTCCTATGTCTGCCCACTGTTTCGCAGTTATATATCACGCTTTAATTGCCTCTCTGCAAGGGCCCTGTGCATGTAGTAAATATGCCAGAAAAGAATGTCATCCAGGAGACTAGCGTTGTAAACATGAAGTTAGTTTTTATTCTGCTGTAATACCTCTGGGCCATTTTTTTCTGACTAAATATGTATTTAGAAATTATTATATTTTTAACCACTACTCTCTGTCTTGGCATAGTACAAGGGTATCGAAAAGTGGTAGCTTTGCCCTTAGTCTTGCAGATTAATACTCCCAAAAGATTCCTAGCTCTGTAAATGCTGTGTGAGCACAACAGAGAGCCTTGAGCCAATGGCTCTTATCTTCTTCAAACTCCTGTCTTCATCAAACAGGGGTTTGTCTTTTATCTCGTTCCTATTAGAAAATGTTGGCAGGAATACCATCTCTGAGTTATTTATCTCAAGTTGCTATGTGTGAAGTTAGAGGTGGGTATCTGCAGAGAATTTAGTGTATTTAAATATAGTGCAAGAGCAGCATGACTAGTCAGTGGAGTTTGCATAGATGAGAAGACCATCTAAAGAAAACATAGATGAAGACTTATCATTTTTACACTGTTCGGAATAAACTAGGTAAAACCATCAGGCAATATTATGTGTAGCAGGCTGATCTAGCATATTTCTACTTGCACAGAACTCCTGAGTTCATGTAAAACTTTAGTATTAAAGCTTCATTTCCTTCTGGTGTAGCTGAGCTCTTTCTTCTCCAGGAGATATACCTTGATGTCCAGTGTGAAGTCACCTATGGATATCTGGTGCTGCTCCCTCGTTTTTCTTGGGCATAGGAGACATTTCAGCTGTGTTGCTACAGCTGTGGGAGCTCCCGCTCTCAAGTGGGAACGTGTTTTTTCCCACAGCTTAATGCCATAGCCAGATAAGGCGACCGCCTTTTGAAGCGCACGCGGGAGGAAGCCTCCCTGAGCCCCTTGCCATTGTCACGGCCGGATGCGAGGGAAGCGCGTGGCGACCACTCGGATGTCCCCGTCCTTCCCGCGAACAATGCGCCCTCCGCAGCTGCGCGCGCCGCGCTCCAAGGCAGCCCCGCACGCTGCGCAGCCCTCGTCACGCTTCCCGCAGCCTTGGAACCTTTGATGAGTTGCCTTTGTGAATCCAGATGGGTGATCGGACACCGCAGCATGGTTGTGCCTACCAGTCTGATAACGGGGGTTTTACAATGCAAAGGAAGCAGTGCTGTCTTTGTGGTGCTTTGGAATTGTCCACATGTATTTTCTTTTTCTCTCTCTCTCTCTCTCTGTATTTTTTTTTAACCCCATGCAATATCTGATGATTTTTTCCCCCTATTTTATTCTTGCAAAAGGCTATTATGAGGTATAGGCTTGCTTGTCCAGAGGAATGTTTTGCAGCAGAAATTTGAAATCTGAATTTCCTGGCTGCTTCTCATTTTTTTTGGTATTTTTAGGCCTGAGTTTGAGCCATGATGTGCTAATTCCAATCAGATGTTTTAACCGCATCTTTTTTTCTTTGTTATGTTGAAGTTGTTCACCATTTTACTGAAAAACAGCTCCCTTAACAAAAATGTGACATTTTAATACCTAACAAAATCAGAACTTCCAAGCGAAATAACAGGCAATATTTCTTTTCAAGCAGCTGGAGCATCATAGTCAGCTCAATATTTAATTATTTGTGCATTTCATTTATTTGCTTTTAGGTTTATGGGATGATTCTAACTTCCTTCCTCTGCTTCTCCATCCACTTCAGCAACAATCTTGACCGGAAAGGCAAATACACTCTGCAAGAAAGGTAGGAATCTGTCAACCTGACTTCCCTGGTAGGTAGAGCCAACTCTTGGCCTGGGAAGCTGCCTGAAATCGTCTGCAAAATCATCCAAGGTGGTGTTGCTTGAGGACACGTCACCATTATTCAGGTTCCATGTTTCCCTTTCCAGCACCTCTAGGCGCTGTGCGTTGCAAACTGCCCACTCCGGATGATGATTTATGGAGCAGCAGTGCCACATCTTGGAAAATGGACAAGGATGAAGGGATGCATGCACGCGGGCTCAGGGATGCAGGTCGCCACACTGAATATGTGGCTGTAGCTCAGTGATCGAAGAGCAAACAGCCTCTGCGTCAGGACATTAAGAAAAAGGAAGAAAAAAAAAAACTATATTTAAAAAAAGCAGAGAAGCAAAAGCCCAGCAAGCCAAAGCCACAGTCTGAACTAATCTGCCTCACTCAGATTTCTCTTGCATTCTCATCTGAGCAGTTTGTGACCCCAAAAGATATAACATTTCTAGGAAGATGGCTTTGGATTGCAGCCCAGGACAAAATTTTTGCTGTCAACAAATAGGTTTACACTAAGTGTGGCTCTGCTAATGGGAAATGTGTTCTCCAACCTGGATGCTAGTCATTATTGACTTTGGGCAAATTTCTAATCATATTTATATATATAGGCATCCAACTGCCATTGATTTGTTTTTTTTCTAATTTTTCTCTAATTTCAAATATTACAGAGTTCTCGGTATAAACTAGGAAAAAAAAAACAGAAAGCAATGCATGAATTCTAAAATGTGCAACCAGAAAAAGGGCATATCATGTCTTTCTTGAAGCTGTACATGCTGTTTTTGAGTCTTAGGATTCAGCCCATCTCCTGGGGCTTGATGTAGAATCAATATTATATTGTTTTGTTCAATGTATTGCCTTAGTTGCTTATTTATCTCTCTTCGTCAACCAGACAGACTGTGAAATATGAGAGGACTTTGATCAAAGTGCAGGATTTGTGTTTAAAATCTGTAAGAGAATGGGACTGGTCTCCAGCCAGGTTGGCAATAGTACCTCTAACTCCACATCCTCATTGTACATCTTTATTGATAATGAGGTTAAATTGGAATTTGGAAAATCTCAATCAACTGAAGAACTCAGCTTTTTAGCCTGGCTAATCTGATGGCTTCCTGTTGTGCTTTGCCCTTTTTACAAAGAGGTAGAACCACTTCTCACCTGAAAAGCATAATTGCAGTAGCTATATAATTTACAGCAGATTTTCTTACAGGAACTAAATCTCCATGAAACGGTTTTTGAAGTAATAGCAACTTCATGAAGTTTTCCTTCACTATGGCTTTTACCTATGGAAACCAGCTCTCCATGGTGAGCTCTAGCTGTTGCAGTCAAGGCTAACGCCGTTGCCATTCTGTGGGCGAGTTGGCCCCTCCTGTGACTCATGGTTGTTTCAATAAAAGCGAGTTCCTCCCGCAAGGCCGTCCTTCTTTCCCCATTTCTGTCTGGCTCGCTGGGGTGTGTGAGCAAAGAGAAGCCGTGGGCACCGCCTGCGGTGCTGGGCGGAGATGCGCCCCATGCAGCTGGCGCGCGCCCAGCAGCCGCGACGGCGATGACCGCATCGAGCCTCCCAAGAAGAGGAACCCAACGCGCGGAGCAGCCCTTTGGCCACCGCTTGTCACTGACCTCATCTGCCTCCCGCCACCAGCAACTGGATGATGTGAGAGCAGTCATGTCCTGCACGAGCGGAGGCAGGAAACCAAGCTTAAAGACGCATTTGAGCAATGAATAAAGAGCAGGGCGTTTGTATAAAAGGATTCGCTAACATTTTCCTTGGAAACTGGAAGAAGGGTTTGCTAAGGGCTTTTTTGGTGCTTCAGTTTTTTAAACAGTGGGTGTTCGGGTCTTACTTTCCCCTTTTGTAGCGATGTCTGGATGTAAAACTAATGATATTCTGCCATACCAAAAATTGGACATTGATCAAATATTCTCTATTATTTGCTGAATGCTCCTTTAAAGTCCAATAAGATAAAAGATGCCTTTTGCTTAACATTATGATTAACAGCCCTAGATGCTCCTCCTTCCCACACCAAATTTTGCTGTGAAGTGGTGAGTATGGGCAGGAATCGCCTGTCTGTGATAAATAAATGTGAAAGGACTCAAAACCCCTTTCCTTCCTCTTGTTCCTGGAGTCGTTTGTTATCACTGGAACTTCAGAAAAGCAGGTAAGTTCCAAGCCTTGATATATATATATGTGTCTGTGTGTGCATATTTTTATATTATGATATATATATATTTCTCAGTGTAGAACTGCAGTCCTCATGCCTGTCGCAGTGGCCACAATGTGACCTGCACCAGACTTATTCCCTGAGGAACTAACAGGTCTGGAGCATGGACGTTCCTTTCTTGAAGGAAGAGTTGGGCTAGAAAATGTAGTTGCTTCTCACAGCATGACTGGAAGTGCCTGTTCTCCTGAGGCCCTCCTAGTCATTGAGGGATGGCGGGGGTGACTTTGAAGGGTTATAACCAAGTTGTCTTTGGAGGGTTATAATCTGGCAGTTTGGGGTGGACTTCTGCACCATGGGGGTGTCAAGGAAGCCATGTCCTGTCAAACATATTCAGCATCTCTAAACATAGAGTGTTTTTTTTAAAAAAAAAAAAAAAAAAAAAAAAAAAGAAAATCCTGATAGATCTTGATTGATATGGATGTTTTCTAACAGGTGCAGAGACAATGTGTTTTCAAAACCAGCCTGCTGTCATTTTCCTCGAGAAATTCAGCCAGAGGTAGATGGTGCCCTCAGGAAACTTCAGCTTCTGCAGTTGAAGGTCGAGAGATGTTCCATCAGGTAGGATGCGGGGGGTGAAGTGCAGGAGGAAGGAGGGGAGCCGACGAGGAACGCTGGAGGCAGAGGCAGAGGCTACATGTATTTTTTTGGAAAAATACATGTAGTGCGTGTTTTACAGCTCTGGGAAGCAGCTGCCAAACCCGTGACTGGTTACAGGCCTGCGGATGAGGCCAGTGCTGACTGTGCTCCAGGTTGCTCTGCTCTTCCTGGAGCTCCCAGCGCAGAGCCCGCAGAGAGGCACCTTGGCTGGCCCCATGGGGACAGCAAGGCCCCTTCGTGCCAACTGCTCATCCCCTGACAGGGAGCAACGAGCCAAGGGCATACGCCGGACCCGGAAACACAGAAATTTCCAAACGAAACACGTTCTTGTGCTCCAGGTGCTGTTCAGTTCCACCCCTGCCCCCGTATCTACCTTCAGCACGACTGAGGGCTCTGTCGTCTAACCGTTAAGTACAGCCTCTCGCCTGTGGATGTGCTCGTTTTCTTCTTGGCCGCGTTACGTTAGCAATAAGCGATTCCCTTCTAGCTGCCTTCTCCTGCTAATGAATTATACATTGATTATACAATAGCGGCTCTGTGGCCTCGCTGGCGGCTCCGGCGCCCCCC